TCCGATTTTTTTGGCCCATATGCGACCTGGATCTGATCTTTTCATAGCTGTCTGAACAACACAGATCCGATTTTGTCCAATCCGACCCAGGCCACTTGGCTATGTGGTCCTGAATCCGAAACGAATCTGATCTTTTCAAATGCGACTTGTGTCTGAACGGCCAGGTCGCATTCATCCGACCTGAACGTCATCAATACCCGACAAAGGTCAGTATTCTGCGGCAAGAAAAACACCCATGGCAGATGATGATGTGGAGAGCAGTACTTATGTTTAACCATCTTGAAAAGATTGTGTTTTTATGGTTGGAAAAGACCGCTAGATGCGCGCCGGCACTACCATCCATGTTTACTTCCGGAAAAAAAGAGCATGCTGGCCTGTGACGTCATTGCTTCCACTACTGCGCATGAGGGACACTTGCATTGTATGCCTGCAGTTCATACAGGAGATCACATACAAGTCGCATATATTTGGAAATTTGAATGACAACGTGTAAAGATCGGATTTCACAAAAAAATCGGAATTGTGCATCAGGGCCTGCAGTGTGAACGTAGCCTTTGCCTTTGTCAATCAGTGCGAGCCAACAGAATTGACAAAGACTCCTGGATAGGTGTTGAAATGTCTTTAAAAACACTGAGCTAATGTCTGGTTGCGTTCCAATTTAAGCCTTTTGTGATTGTTCAGGTAGTATACCTTGAAAATATGAAGTTGAAGAACAAATCTACAGCCTGTTTAGAAGGCAGCGAAAGAAAATACTTGGTCACATGAGGTTTTTCACAAGGACCAGCACCCCTGCCCTCTAGTCTGGGGTAAAATTGAATCAAAGCAAGCAAATCTAAACTCCTACAGGAACCGAGACGAGTTACATTACCAGTTATATTACCTTTGGGACAAAATAAGTCTATATTAATTGAAACCTTTTGACATAATAGCCTCAAACATCAATTTAATAGATCAGGGTTTTATTGATACACCGAGTCACATATAATAGAAAAATCAGATAGATGGTGTTTTTAAAACAGTCTGTTTCTACACATGAAGCATGCCAAACGGGACTTTATTTTAATTTTCCTGCAATATGAAGACCAGATTTGTGGAAAGCATAATTAATAGTTCTGATTTTAATATTTACCTGGCGGGCTCTGCAGCTTCTCTGAAATTACTCTCTGCTTTAAACCTTTTAATGTATAATGTTCTCTTACATACCTCTTAGGCTTCCATGTAAGCGCTGCTTTTTCATTCACATCGAGATTGAAAACACACAGCTGGTATAGGAGGGGTTTAGATTTATAATTTTGAACACAAATGAACACAAATCCAAAACACTCTTTTCAGATGCTTGTATAGAATATTACATTTGTGTCATGTTCTTTAATTTGACAATTTTTGTTTTTTGTGTCAGATTAGAGTCAGTGACAGTAACATTACCTCTAAACAATAACCTTTTGTCTTTATTCTCTGGAAATATAACATTAAATAGGAATTGAAGTCAAAGTACACATTAAACTTTCCTGTCTCAACATAGTCTGTAAATACTAAATTACTTTTGGATCAGGTGGAAAATACAAATTGGTTCTAAAGACTGGCCACAGAAGATGGATTTAAGGAAAATACACCTCCCTTTTTGTCTTAGATGGTGGAAAACGGTGAAGGTTTAGTCCGTTAACAATCTTCAACAAGGAGAAATCTTGACCTTAGGTGTTTTCTGTCATGAATAAAATAAATAATGATCTGATTTCTGGAAAGCACAAGTAATTTCACATCACCCTGGTTAGCAGAAGTCAAATTGTAACAGTTTCTTTATTACAAAATACAAAGCAGTGTCTTGGATTCGTGTTGGATAAATTTCGTTCTGTTCCAAACCTCTATGCTTCTGTGTTCAGAGAAATTCCCACCAAGCAAAATTTGGAGATGCGGCCTAAAGACTTCAAGAAAGAAGGTAAAATCTGCAGACTGCGGACAGAGGAGGATGAAGATGAAGACAACAATACCTGGAATGGGAACTCCACCCAACAGATGTAGTACTCCAACCCCTTGGTTTGGATTTTACTTGATGTATTTTCTTTCTTTTTCCTTACTCTGCTTTCTCCATCTTAAGTACTTTTGGTCCTGCACTTTGTCTGCATGTTAACATAAAAATGGTAAATTTAGTCCTATCTGAGCTTAGGACCACTGAAGAAGTCCTGAATATAACATGGTTGAATGGTTATTGTTTTGATTGTGTGAAGCCAATCATTTTGTCGCCGTTTCTGATTTTGTTCCCATTACTGATTAAACTAATTAAAATCTGGTTTAACCAATCATTTGCCTTTTATTGTGTCTTGACACACAATTCTTTCAGAGGAGCAAAGTTGCAGCCCGGAAAGCCTTTAAGTCTGCATTTAGATAATCTTAGTGGGATTGGAAACATCTCTTACCCAGTAACTTGGAACAGTAACTGCAACGCTACTCTTTTGTCCAAGATAAATCAGAGCTTTGACAGTTAGTTACATGTCTGCTGTGTACTGCTTGGTTTGCCATTGCCACTCTAAAAACAAAGTACTATGAAAAGAGACTTCACTTGACTTATCATTTGTCAGAAAGTACTATCCCAAATAAATACAGCCCAAATTTGTAATGGTTATATTCTTTTTTGATTAAAACATGTTTGTTTATATTTCTTAATTTTTCTAGCTGAGAGTTTCAGCACATAGTTTTTACATGTCCCACCAATTCATCCTAAAAACAGATGTCAGTAATTCTACAGGAAAGTACTTCTGCCACTATGTCAGAATACAAGAATAAAAACCAATCTATTTGGAGATACTGAAGTCAGTAAAGGCAGTTTTTGTTGTATTTGCCAGGAATATGTTGTTAGCATTTGTAAGAAATTTGCCAATGTTTACATTTAAGAGCTTGTGTTTTAACATTTTATCCCCAGTTGTAAATCTATTGCTATTTTTATGCATTTTGTGTTGAGCAGAACAATTTAAATTTATTTATCACTTTTCATTTTTAGTAAGAAGAAGTAGGGTTATAGAAGTTTTGTCATCCCTTTCCATGCTTTAAGAGTCCAATGGTAACACCCTGATGAAAAGGATTTGTTTTTTTGGGTTCTATTTAGTAAATGATATGTAAAAAGAACAGAGTGGTGAGTATTAATGGCAAATGCTACTACTATTAACCTCTTACACCCTAAGGGGGTATAAATAAATTTCTGCCTGACAAAAACACACAAAAGTAAATAACTTATAGCCTCAAAGCTATTAGATTTAAGAAGAAACTTTTGGTACGTCTGTAAAGGTAAGATGTCATAGAATGGTTTTCTGGTGTCAGCACCATTGTAGCTTTGACCCTGCCTGAAATATTAGGGACAAAATACAAAATATTTTGCATTTTTTGAACCTCGCCAAAATTTTCTTTGAAATAAACATTGCAAAACACTACCCAATTATTTATAGCACAAAAAAGTAGTACAGACTTTCAAATCTAAATGTTGTGTAAAAATATACCAAATTTGGACTCAGATGAATCATATTTATTTTAGAATGGTATTAGTGAGAAATTTCTTAGGCAGAGGGGCCAGTTTGGCACATTTATCCATAAATGTCACCAAACTGTGCCAAATATGTTTTTTACATCAATACTGGGGGTTTGGTAAAATTACGAGGTCATGTAGCAGCTGGACCCGCCGGTGGGTCCGTAGGGTTCAAGGGGTTAAGGCCAGAATGTTTTGATGAATTGCTGTTAAAGGAAAGCTTTGTGTCATACCTTGAAGCTTTCCCTCTCTCCGGTTCTTTTTCCTGAAAAGAGATCACTCAGGACAAACTCTTTGAGTAACACTTCATAACGTATATGTATTAAATAACCATGAGACATGACAACAGATTTTGGTAGAAATTGTAATCTCACGCAGATCAGAGAAGTTGCTTAGGGTTACAGAAGGCAGCTTTTTACTGACCGGGCTCCCTTATCGGGAAGTGGCCTTGACAAACGGGTAAAGAAACATTTTATACATCTCCAGTCTGCCACATCATTACATCATTACATCATACACGTTTGCAGATTAGGAGATGGCTATTGCTTATCAAAATATTACACTTTGTTCTTAGCTGAAGCTGAACGACACCGCCCGCATTACATTCCCAAATCTTTGCCACATACAGAATGAAATGGTAAATGGCATGTACTTATTTTTTTCAAGTCAGGAGACTTGACCAAAGCGCATTACACTACATTCATTCACCCATTCACGCACACTCTGATGGTGGCCAGCTACATTGTAGCCACAGCTGCCCTGGGGCTCACTGACAGAAGCGGGCTGCCTTACACTGGTGCCACCGGGCCCTCTGACCACCATCAGTAGACAATGCAGGTGAAGTGTCTTGCCCAAGGACACAACGACAATGAAAGTCGAGCCGGGGCTTGAACCGTCAATCCTTCTATTTCAGGGCAAACTCCTACATCCGACCCCACTGTCGCCCCTATCGTACGTACAGAATGAAGATTATAACTATATCTAGACAGAGGAACTGTTCTAATTAGAAAAAACTACTGGGGAAAACATCAGTTCTGACACACAACAAGCAGGTAATATTGGGGTGTAATCATCAATGATAATTGTCCGAACAATTCCCCCTGTAAAGGTGATGATTTTAAGGTCACCTTTAACAAACACTTGAACTAAACAATCCCTTTATTTTGTTGGCATTAAATGTTACCAAGTAGATTGTGCAAACAGTACTATTCTAGTTATGTCATACTAGTTACCTTATCAGTATGCCACTCTGCCAGGCGTACTATGGTCTAGCAGCCCTAAAAGCTAAGAATTTAATTGGACCTCTTCTTGATTACATAAAAAGCATGATCACTCAATGAGATATTAATAAAATAAAATTTTTATTTTATTTTTTATTCTAGTTTTTAATCAGCTGAGACATAAAAAAAAAACTGTAAGACTTGTTTGTGACATGAGAGGGGTCAAATCAGTTTAAGGCAGTTTAAGGTCTTATTCACATGGCTGATCTGTGTAGTCTTTGCTAATAATTCATTGCTACATCAAAACTCGTCATTGTCAACTAAAAACAGCATACATACAAGTACATATCAGCTTCACAAAACCAGCTTACTTCTTTCTTTATAATTATCAGTCGTTTTACAAGGTGAGTCAAGTTTGCCATTATATATAATCACAAAGTCATATAAACGTGAGCATTTCTGCTCCAAGAAAAGCTCTGAATAAATATCGATTGAAGCGCTGAAGCAGGGGTCTTAGTTCTCTCCAGTAAACAGAGGGTTGGCCACAGTGGTCGTGGGATTCTGGAACAGTGGATTGTCGATCTGGTATAAAGAAAGTACCTTTAGTTAGACTGGTTGCTGTGCAATGATAATCTTGGTTTCAGTCTGGAAGAAACTGCACATGAGATGGTAAGATATGAAATACAGGGCAGTTCATAGTTTCTACTTTGACCCATGGCTGGTGGGAAGAAAAATCCTCTCCAAGTAAGAGCCAGGACCATATTTGGACATACTTTGACATGAAGCTTGAAAAAAATTTTTTTCCTAAAAGAAACAAAATGATATAAACCTATACCTTTATAACCTCAGAGATCAATACTACCATTTTAGTTGTAATAGATATTTTTATAGGCAGACTATTGGAATGGTGAGTAAAATGACATTTGGCTGCTGAGATTCTCTGGTATATTTTGACCAATGTGCAAGTATTTCACAGTGGTGGAACCTGCCCGAAAACTATTTAAATTGCTGTAAATTTAGTTATCTACATGAGATGTTTTCCTATCGTGAGAAAGGACTTTATTCAAAAACACATACATACAAATAACTTTTTATATAAGTGTATGGGTGTGTATTCATGTGTGGTCTTTTTTTCTTACATGGTGGAAACCATTTTGTGTTAAAACGCTACACCATCCAACTGAAAATACTGCCAGGTCCCCTTGGGGAAGATTTCTGTTTTAGGATTAGGTGTTTGTTTTAGGACTAAGGTGTGTTGGAGTTCATGTTTGGGTTACGTAGGTACCCGAAATGTTAGGATCCATTGAATGGAAGTCAATGGAAAGTCCTCAGTGGAATAGAGAAACTGGATGTGTGTGTGCTGTTCTAGAATAAGACTGAGGACCATTTTCAGTTTTAAACCTTTGGAATGTGGATATTTTTACAAAGTGAAGTCATTTTGGCTGGTCCACATGCACTATTTTGCTAACGATCAGATTCAGGGCTAAGCTGCCAATTAGGTTAGTTAAGTTTAGATATGCACTGGTAATGGATTAAGGTTATGGCGCAGATAGGGTTGAAAATGACAAAAAAAAATCTGTGGATGTCATAGAGAGTCAATATATGTTCCTCACGTCCTATAATCAAACTAGAATGTTTGTGTGTGTATAAACTTGTATGATAAATTAAAATGCACCTTAAAATAAAACTATATGTTTTGAAACTGGTTTAAATCTCTACTGGATAGCAAAACAACTAACCTCATCCCACTTGGTTTTCTGTCTTTCATTTTCAAACCTCTTGAACTCTTTCAGGTCTTTCAGGTAGTAATAAAACTTGATCAGCATCAGCAGAAGAATCCCAATTACAGCCACCGCAGCAATGGATCCAATTATGATAGGCATAACACTCTGTGGTTCTGGGCAATCTGTATATTTAGAATTAAATTATGATTAATCTCAAACATCTTCAAACTCTGACAACTTGAAATATAATGGCCCTATCTCAGCCACCAAATGGACTGATGTCTTTTGTTTGATTTAAAAATACATTGTATTTCCAACAAAATTAAATGTTGTTGTAACTCAGTTTTACTTTTCAACTCGTATATGTCAGGAAGGATCCTCTGTGAAGGTCTTTCTTGCACCTGATCTAGATAAGACATTTTGTTGGTGTTTAACAGTCTTCGTAAAAGATGCTAAGGTTTCATTTTATGATGAAGTCTTTGTGAAATCATCTCCACAAGCTCCAAAGAAGTTCCCAGAACAGAGCAAGCCTCCCTTCTAAGCTTACCACCTCCACCTCCTCTCATGGTGCAGATAGAATTTGACATGTTCTTTTTGATCCCAAAATATAATCTCCTTTGTTTTGATAAAATGAAGGCTTAGATTATTGTGTTCCTACAATGCCACAAAGCCGGTTATTTGCTGCTTGTACTACATCCATTTCAGAGGCACCCAATGATTGCAGAGTCATTGGAGTATTTCTTCAGATGACAGGAGCTTGTCTTGCATTGGAAGACTGGGGAGTACAGACTAAATAAGAATGCCTTGTGTAACTCCTATGCTGATAACTTGATTAGAGAGCTGGACCTTTTGCAAACTGTTTGTCAGGTGGTTTTTGATCAAGCTTTCACAACCGTCTTTGGCATCTGGCTTTTACCCAAGTCTTGTGGAATTTTTTACAAAGCAAGTCAGTTTGAATCACAGGTAAATCCACTGTAGAAATTAAAGATCACGATCCTGACAGTGCTGTGTGCCTTGTCTAAATGACTTTGGGTTTGTTGAAGCAGGTGTATGATGGCATATTCAACTAATAGCTGGTGTACCAGAAGTCTCTCTTGGACCTTCATGATGTGGGGTATCAGGGCAACAACTCTATAGTCACTGATCATTGTTAGCTGAACAAGACAGGAGGTCTTCCATATCACTGGATCTGTCTCCTGGGTCAAGCTATGGTTAGAGAGGTGCTATAAAATCCTACAGAGCACCAATCAATAGAAAAAAATCATCAGCTTTAGGTATTTTATTCACGGGAATCTGAAGAAGTTTGATTGATTTAAAACAATTTAGTGTAACCAAACATATAAAAAGAACTTGCACCGACAGTCAGGGACAGTCTGTGCAATTCTACAGCACCTCTTCGTCTTTAACCTTTAACCAAAATAATTGTTAAAGTAAATATTAAATTTGTCTAAGGGACAAATAAGTTACAGCCTGTTACCTTAGCACATAATATCATGATAAATCTATTAAGTATTACACAAAAAAACTGATAAAAAAAACTAAATGTTTTTAAAATAAGTGTATTTGTCCTTAATTTGAGCTGTTAAGTATGATGATCTGTCAAGAGAAGAGGTATTTTTGCTCTTAAAAATAATATAAATGTAATTCACTTGAAATAAGTTAATGGAGTTTCCATTTCTTATTTTAAACACAGATCCTATTATTCCATTGATAAATTGTCTACTTGCTTAAATAAAGAAAAAATACACTTAAATTGAAGAAGAATTTACTTAATTACATTAACATTTCTTTGTTTATTTCTTTCTCAAATAGTAGCTTAGTTGCAAAGCTCAACTGAATGCTAAGTGAGGCCGTTTTACCATTTGATATCAGTCCTCTGGGCAAGAAACAAAAGTTACAGCTTAATTTTAAAATTGGTAAAATTAAGTAATTAATAAATTAATTAATTAGTAATGTACCTTTTATTTTCAGTATTTCAGCTTTGTAGTTATCCCTTCCGGATAACTGCTCCAGCTTGAATTTGATCCGACAACCCTGACTGTCCTTCTGGTTGCAATCTTTACCCTGATAAGTAAAATTTTCAACCAAGGTATGGGACATGCTTCCCCCACAAACGACTTTGCAGTCTTCTTTCGAAACATCTGAATTAACGAAAAGGCATTCAATGCATTTCCTGAAAAAAAGAATAGAAAATGTTCAAATGAAATATTAAAAATAGAATAGCCTTACCAATTCCAGTAAGATTTTATACATCATTAAAACTTAAATTTTCTCACATTTTTGTCTGGCATACATCATCACAGCCTTCACATTTCTCACAGAATGGGCGCTGATATCCCTCATCACATTCACAAAGGTTACATTTGCAGCTCCCTCTGCCAAAGCAGATAGTGTTGTTGTCTGTGGAGGATGACGGTGGAGGACGACATCCCTCCGTTAAAGTCTCGCTGCATTGACATGCAGAGCCCTCCCAGCCATCAAAGCATTTGCACTTTCCACATTCACAATCACCATTTCCTAAAAAAAAAATGGTAGTAACTGATTATTTCCTAATGTTTTGATTTGGATCGGAGCACATTCCTAAACCATATGTTTATACTAATAAAGTCCAAGAAAGACTATGTATGGATCCCTTACCTAAGGAACAGTTCACTTGAAAGCCTAGGAGTGATATAAGGGAAAGTGTGTGTGTGTCTGTGTGTGTCCTCTCTGAGGGTGTATAGAAGAAGCTGTAAACTTTGAACAATTTTCCATCATCTTTGATTTTCTTGGATTGGTGAACCCATCTGTATTGATCCTGTATCCCTCAGAGTGTTGAGGATTTGCTCCATTGCTGGTTGACCTATACCTCAGTATTATATATCATTAAAATATTGTGATATATTTTTCTTTTTTTATATTAGCTAATGAATCCTTCCACTAAAGATTTTTAAAAACTGTACATTTTTGGTTGCTCTGCGATGGACTGGGGACCTGTCCAAGATGGACCCCGCCTCTTGCCCGCAAACAGCTGGAGATAGGCACCGGCAACACTGGCAACCCTACTTGGGATAAGCGTGACAGAAAATGGATGGATGGATGTTTAATTTTTGCTCATGTGTTTTTTATTATCCTTCCTTGTCATTTTCTTTACCTCAGTTGAAAAATAGTTTACCTCTGTCATGCCAAGTGTAACACATACGTTATTGAGATCTCTACAGCATCAGTGTGTTTTTAATTTTCTTGAATGACCCGATGTATACATTCAGACCTATGTAGTCAACAGCAAATGCATAATAATAATTTCACAGATATGCCAATAATATATATAATTGATCTATATAAATATTTTTTTATTTGTCAGAATGTTTAAATGGCTGCCCTTTTTTTGGTAGACATTCTTTGTGGTGTAAAACTATCAGTTGACAGTTACTATAAGAAAACAGCTCAGACACAGCACATACCTGCACATTTCTTATTGTTGAATTTTTCGCAATGTTCATCATCACATTCGCAGAATTTTCCATAGTAAGAGAATCCTTGCTCTGCTTCATGACACTTACATGAGCCACATAAACAATCTCCTCTGCCTTCACATTCTGTTCCATTATCCCTCCGACATAATGCTTGCAGAGTTTCTAAATTTTGTGTTGTTACATTACAGCCACACCTCTGTCCCGAAAAACCATCATTGCAGCTGCAGAAGGACATAATAAAAGTAATAAAACAAACAGATAAAATTAGGAATGTTAAAGAAGTGTGACCAAATATTTTTGACAAACCTGTAAGTGTCCTGCAGCAATAATCACATTTATGTTTTGCTGAATGATTATAAATTAAAAACAATATGTGTATATAGAGCATTTAAACAGAGATTTTATTACAGAAATCTTACCTGCATACACCACAGTTAATTCTTCCGTTATTGTTGCAGTGTTTTTGATTGCTTTCTCCATGGTTGTTACATTCACACGTACAGTTGGTAGATATGGTTACTGTCAGTTTATCTTTAATACCAAGTGGGCTGATAGTGAAGGACTCCTGCTCTATGCATGTTTTTGCTGTGACCGTAACCTGAAAGTATATCTACAAAGAGAGAAAATGGACCAGATGTATTTAATCCACAAACCTTGGCCCAGTTTCACAGAGCAGGATTAGCACCGATCCAGAATGAATTAAAATTATTACAACAACAACTTTTTAGCTGAGATCTGCATAAAGAAGAGCTGAAAATGGCTTTTTCCTTTTCTATAAGAATCTACAAAGGTATATTGAACTATTAATCTGATTGGGTGATTAGAGCATAATTACATGTTTTTATCTTTTTCTTCTTAATTGCTTTTTATATGCATCAGAATTTAATATCTTCAGCTTTTCAGACTGTGTTGTTAGTGGTTTTTAACCAATCTATATTGGTAAAAGGGCAAACCGACAAATATTGGTCACTGTGGTCACAAACCACTGTTTGCTGGGAGCCTGTAAACTTGTGTAGCATTCATTTATAGAGGGTTGCTAAACTAGAGGCTCAATGAACTGCTGAAGCAGAGGGATATTGCTTGACTTCATGAACTCTATTGTTCCCACTACACTCAGATTAAAGGAAATCCCCTTCACTTCACCACAAAGTGTCTTTTGTCCTCTTGCAACATTATTTCCACTTTTTTATGGGATGATTGTTTGATTTATCATTGGGCTAATGATGCAGTTGGATGGCTTTCCTTAGATAGCCAACATTTTTACTAATAATTTATGAATTATTATGAATGCATGTATGAATTATTATAAAACTGATCATCTGAACATCTGTCGGATCTTTCTGTTCTGTAACATATTCTGGAACCATATTTGTTGTGAATATTATTGTGTAAGATTGTTGCTTATTGCATTATTGGGTGGCACAGGAAAATTATTCTGAATGTACTGACAAATGTTAAAATGACTGAGCTGGACTACCAGCATGAGTTTAATTAGAATAACCATTATTTTTGCTATTTTTTAAAATCTGGTATGCCATTTACCTGATCTAAAAATGTTATGTCAGAACAAAGCTTTACAGCAACAAAATACACTGACCTCTTTTCCCTCACCGACTTGATCACAGACCCCTTTATTTGTGCCTTCTTCTCTGGGATGATCACACACTGGCAGGTATTTAACTTGTACATTGTCAGGAAGAACATCATGTGTCAATGTGACTTTAGAGGATAATTTCTGTAGCAAAAAAATTGATTCAGCATATTGTATCAATTTAATTAAATGTATATTAAACCAGCATGTATTGCCGAAATCACCAGGAGATTTACCTTGTAGGCACTTTCAATCAGTTGAACCACATTTTTTGAATCCGATGACAGAACTCCCACTTCTGACTTTGGTATAATTTTTGAGAGTTTCTGAAAAACATTGAATTAAAATATCTTAGATTAGGATAATTTTTTTCCTATATCTGTAAGTGTATATATATATATATATATATATATATATATATCTTAAGCTATCTATCTTAAGAATGTATGTATTTACTGTGTACACATCCTTCACATTTTCTGTTACAGCAAATATTGGCTGAACATTGTTTTTTTCCAGCTGAATGGCCAACTGTCCAACAGATGGGTAGTCCTGGACACAAGAATTAAATCAGAATGAGTCTTGTGCACAAACAACCTCATCACTCAGCATTAATCTGCATCAATCTACATCACAATAAAGTCGGTAATAGAACAAAAACACACACATACCATCTCATTACTTTTGACATAAAGGTTGTTTTTTATGTGGCACTGTTCATCATGGGGTTCTAGGATGCCAGCCAGTTTTCCATCCCCAGCCATGTGAAATCCAGCATCTGTGGCCAGAACAATTAACCGAGTGCTGCTGTTTCTCCAGCCTATTTGATCCTGTGAAATGTGTGTCACAAAGATGCAAAAAAGTCCTATTTTGTTACAAACATTACTCTCCATATTCTGTGGCAAAGTTAAAACTATAGTCCAACAATGGCATCATTTAGGTAAGCTGTTTAATGGTTTTGATTTTTGCTCAGTTCTCCTTAATATTTTAAACAACAAACAAAAAGCATGATCTCTATGTTTAGACCATGGCAGGTATAGTAACTACAGCTTTGTGTAAAGAAATCCTAAAAAAATAATAAATAATGTTCAGACATCTTTAAAACATGCTGGACTGTTTTTACTGAGGAACTGAAAGGTGCCTCTTACCCCACATACAGCCGCTTGCATCATGGCATCAAGACTACCTTCAGGAGAGTCTAAGTTTCCAGAAATGTACTGCTTTGCCACCTCCTCTCTGAACTGTTCCTCGCTCGATGTCATACTAAGAACATGTCTGTAGCCAAAGGCAGCCTGACATTGATCGTCATTCTCATCACATGGCTTCTTCAGTTTCTCCTTGTTGGTGTTTGTATAAGGAAGCACTGTCTTATCAACAAAGGCGCCGAACCCTGTAAACGTAAAATTTGATTTAAAAAAAACACCCAAAAACTATTCTCTACAGATAATAAAGTCAATTTTTTTCAACTCAGCTCAGTTTATATAGTGCCAATTAACACTCTTGAGACCCAACTCTTTGGTTTGTCACTTTTTCCACTAGTATTGAGGAGTGAAAAACTGATCGCTCTAAGAGCGCAATTAGCATTTTTTTATTGGTTTCAATTTTTGTCTCTTTACCTATTTTAGCCTTTTTCGTAATGCTATTCAAAGCATCAAAAAGTGTTTTTCCTAGGCCTTTGACATTTTCCAGATCATCCTTCATGGAGTAGGAGAGATCCATCAGGTAGTAAAGATCCACTGGGTAACCCTCAGCCCTCTTAAAGGTGACATTGAAAGAGTGTGGAAGCCCTGTAAACAGAGACATGATCAGTTACACTGCAGAGTTTATATATGTGTGGAGCCATTACAAAACTATACTGTAGTCTGACAGTTAGTAGAATCCCTAAAACAAAATAAAGTGATCTTCTATCCAAGAGATATGACCTACATTTCTGTACTCTGGCCTGTTGCCCCCTGAACGCACTTATTCCCAAATCTTTATCACCATGAGCAATCACTCTTCAAATAAAACTTTTTCTAGTAAATTAATCCTAAACAAGACTTAACTTCAACATGGTTTAATCTTTAAACCTTGATGTACGTTCAATGAAGATGAGCCCTGACATGAATATTTACAGTTCATTTCCTCATTGATATAGTGAACTGTGTAATTTGGTACTTCTGCTGTGTCTTTATTTGACACCATATTACCACTGATGCCCCATTTTTCCTGCTGCATCTTTTGCCTCAGGTCATTTTATCAGTCAGGTTTTTGAGAAGATTTACTTTATTATTCACTATCAATATAGATTATTATATCTTTTTAGGTTGCTCTGTATCTTCCCATTCTCTTGCCCTAACCATGTACTTATGTAATGAAGGTGATTAGTCTTATCTTGACAAAATTGATCTCTGCTCCAATCAATATGACTCCTTAGGGAGCTTAAACAAAATATTATAATTGATTCCTTATACCACGATACTATGTAAGAAAAACTATATGAATTATGGACAGCTATCATATTTAACAACCTTCAACTAGCCCTCTCCAAATGTGTGAAGTGTTAATCTTTTATAAATCTTATTGAATATGGGAACTAAATAATATAAATTCAGGGATAAATAGACAGCATCTTTCAAGAGGCTAAAACCTGAACTATGGAAAATGGCAATCGTTTCTAGACCCCCAACAAATCTTTATGCAGACCTAGTGTGTATCAAAATATGTTTAATACAGACACCAATGCATCTTTTCATGAGACAGAAACAACAGTATCAGCTGACTATACTAACCAGGTCGGAGTTTCAGGTGGATTTTTTGCGGACTCATTTGCACAGGCTCTTCTGTGTCAGACGATTGGGACAGAGGGTCTTTCTGTAAGATGATCTCATGGTTCTGGGGGGAAATTATCTCTTCTGGTTTGCATCCTCTTTCAATCAGCTTTGCTTTAGTGCCACAGCGAACTGTTTCTTGCTCACCAGGTTTTGTATAATTCTTTTTTTTTTTAAACAGACAAAAGGTCAGAAATCACTATAAAAAATAGCATAACATTTTGGTAAAGACAGACGGACAAAGAAAAAAAACAAAACCCTGAAACACCACAAAATCAGCTCAGTAGATTGGAATGAATTACTTTAGGAAATTCTATCCCGAAAAATTAATATTTAAACTATTTCACAACAGGAATTTTCCCAAATATAGGTGACAGCAAATCTTTGTGCTCATGGTCTTATCAAAGAAGTGTCCTTCATCTTTTATGAAAGTGATGGCAAAAAAGATGAAGCTCAGGAATAAAAAAATCAGTGATTAGTGAAGAGAGTCTGAATGTCTATCACAATTCAAGCAAATCCCCATAAAACAATGACATATCCCCTAGCATTCCATATTAGCAATGTTCTTGTTCAGTTTTATGAGTGAAAAACTGCCATATTCTCCTGTTGATGTGTGAGGAAAGCTGGATGCAAGTTGGTCTACTCTAGTTGGTCAAGGTAGGTTTAGGGGAGTCAAAATCTAGATTTTAAATTTTGTTTACGGTTAAGAGCAATATCAGTAAACTTCTAGTCACAGCACTTTATGTGCAACAGAATGAAACTCTAACCTGGGAATGGGAATGTGACAAGGATCATATATAGATACGACTGATGAGAAAAAATATGGTTCATTCTTTATTACTACTGCCATCTGTATTATAGAGAAAAAATGTTAGGGGTGGCCACAGGGGTGGCCAATGATTAGGTAAGGGTGGCCATGGCCACCCCTGGCCCCCCATCTAGCTCCGCCCCTGGATGAAATACATTTTATGGTAACAGTTTTTATGTGTTATTACAACAACCAAAGACAGCAAATCTTATTTATCAGTAACATTTATTTGTCTTTGTGAAGAAGCAACCAAACATTAAATGTAAGCTAATGTTTGAGGGGTTCGAGGGACCATTAACAAGTTCAGGTCAGCAAAAAATGTAGGCTGAATCAAGCCGCAATAAGAGGGAGCCTGTCCATGCAGGGCTCTAAAGGTCGGGACCAGAATTTTAAAGTTAATGTGGTATTCAGTGGGAACCCAGTGTAGAGCTTTGAGGGCAGAAGTTATGTGAGCTCTTCTGGTTGTACGTGTCAAGATCCTTACTGCAGAATTTTGCACTAGCTTCAATCGAGCTAGGCCATTTTTGTTCAGACAAGTGAACAGACTATTGCAGTAGTCCAAACATGATGACACAAATCCATGGATGAGCATCTCAATGTCATTTTCCGAAAATGAGTTTTGCAAATTTCTGAGTTTTGCAGTGTTATGCAGTTTAAAGTAACAGTTTTTTTAATCAATTGTTTTGTGTGCTGCTCCAGAGACATTGCCTCATCACATAAAACTCCAAGGTTTCTCAAAGTGTGTTTTATCACCTGTTTTAAGTCTCCTTAGTGCTACTTAATGCCAGGAATGGCTTGGTCTGGGGCAATGATGAGTGTTTCATTTTTTTCTGGGTTCAGTTATAGACTATTGTCTCTCAACCAATTATTTATCCAAGACAAAGATTCGACCAGAGAGTTTAATTTTTGAGCCTCAGATGTAGTCAAGGAGCAGTAGAGCTGAATGTCATCTGCAAACATGTGATATGAGACATTTTCTAACTGCTGGATAATCCTACCTAAAAGGAGCACATTTATCAGGAACAAAATTGGTCCCTTGGACAGAACCTTTAGGTAGTCCAGATACTAGTTTGGCAGGGTCAGACATTATTTGATCCAATGATCCCAACCAGATCTCTCAGCCTGTTTATCAATGCTCACTGTAGAACAAGAAGGTGGTGGAAATTAGTTTTTTATGTCCTTGATCTTGTCAATAAAGACATTAAGGACATCATTACAGTTTGCTTTACAAAGTACAGGGGCAGTCAGGGCATTGAGGACACCAGAGAGTTAATAGTTTCAAATAAAACCTTAGGAATTTTCTTTCTCTAACTTATGTTCTTCCTGGTTTTTTTAATAGTAGCTTCATCTGGTCTGTTTCTGTTCTGCTGTGACACCATCTTTAAGTGAAATGTCAGCTGTGCTGTTGCAATCAAAGTCTTTGTTGGTAGATGTTGAGCTTGGTCTGTTTTAAGTGCAGTCCTGTTTCTCTGACTGTGACTGGCTGGATGGTCTCTCTTTCATCCTCTGACCTGTGGGCTCAGAGCTCGTCTGCCTGGCTGTGTCTTTCCTGGATCGCATGCCTGTGAAGCTGGTTGACAATTTCCTTTTGTATCTCTGCTTATTTCTGTAGATCTGCTTCTGTCTCCTTGAACCTCAGTCGGCCTCGGCAGATGCCCATTCTGAACCTGGTTCTGCTGGAGGTTTCTTCATATTAAAAGGGAGTTTTTCCTCTCCACTGTTGCTACAAGCATGCTTATTGTGAGGGATTGCCTTCAAGTCAATGAGTAGATGCAATCAACTGGTTTTTCTTAAATATAAAAGCTTTAATCAATTTCTGTATGATCTGGTTGAATTGTCTCTGCAAAATGCCTTGACATGACATGTGTTGTGAATTGGCACTATAGAAATAAACTGAATTGAACTGAAAATGATCAGATTGTTCTGACTATTCTGACTCTGTATCGTGCCTTGAGGTTACAAGTGTTGTGAATTAGTGGCATATAGATAAACTGAATTTTGTTCTATTTCCATTTATTTTAGCTCTAACTGGAAGCTCTAACTAGAACCTCCTTAACATCCAAAATGCTAAATATTTAAACTGCTCTTAAATTTGGATCAGGTGTTTATCTATCAGTGGTGGGAAGTAACAAAGTACATTTACTTGTATCTTCACTTTACTTGAGTTACTTTTTTTTTTTTTGGTGGTGGTGGTGGTGGTTAGATGGTGGTGGTTGCAACACCAAAAAGTGGTGAAATGCAATTTTAACATGCAGTCTTTTGGACCGAATAGGGCACCACTGTTTTAGAAATTTGCATACATTCCACAAATGTGTGAAACTCAGGGTAGGTATTATTTGTACTTTATACAATTTATTAAGGCGTTTGTTTCTGCCATGTGGCCAAGTTGTACGCTAAGATGAGTTCTTAAATCAAAGTTGCAGTTTATTTGTGGTAATAGATTCAACCTTAAACCTCTATTCTATAGTGAAAGTGTGAGAATTAAGACACTCCTGTTTTCTTGTTGGTTTGTTTTTAAAATTAATCAAAATAGCTGTCCTTATTTTTTGTGGCATTTTTATGCTAAAGTTCTTTACATGTGGTGTAGAAATGGTAGCAGGTGGTTCTACACATCAATACATCAGTTGGTTTCTAAAAGTTACAAGGTTCTTTAAAATTTATCTGTTATCTTATTTCACAATTTTAGCGAAGTAACTGAAAAAGCTCTGTTCCCTCTCTGAGCTTCCATCTTGGCCTCGGTACCTCCAGGAGCAGCAGGCCAACTGACCTGATGCACCAAAGGATGGAGAAGTTCAGAGATGTAAGGAGGGTCCAAACCATTTAAAAACAAATAAAATAATCTTAAAAGGAACTTTAAACATCACAGGTAGCCAATGGCGGAAAGGCCAGGATGGGGGTTATGTGCTACCTTTTATGTACTCCAGTTAAAAGGCATGCAGCTGCATTGTTCATTAGTGGGAGAGGTGGCTCTCACCAAAGAAAAGTACGTAATGGTATTCTAGTCATGATGTAGCAAAGATATGGACACAGAAATAACACAGAAATTGTTAATACAATGAGGGTATTTTTTTATCATGAAGATAATTCTAATGCATAGCAGTAGTTTTAAGTAATCTAGGATAAATGTTTTGGATTTGTCTGACAATAAAAAAAGCTTTGTTTCTCACCAGCTGTTGACACCATGCACAGAATGGCTTAAATGTGATGCAGCCATCACAGGAGTCGGTTACTGAATTTGTGCAGACTTCCTCTTGGTGGCAAAACCCTAAGAGAAACCACAAGGTACATTCTCAGAAAGGGCGAAGTGTGAGAAAAACAACATTGGGTGGAACCAAAAATATATTAAATTTGTATTTATATTTCCCTCAGCTTCCTATAAACAGTCAGTACATCTTGCGATGAAATGCAGCTTAGTGGCTGTTGGATGAATACTTCTTTATTCTTATTTTTTATTTTCACCTCATAATTTTTTGGGTTATTGAGACAACACATCACACCTGCAAACATTAGGGCATCCTACCTTAATGGCAAGCAAAATGATATAAACAATTGGTCATACTGATGTCTTTCTTTTCAGAAGAATAAATTAAGTAAATATATCATGCAGTCAGAGATGGGAAGTAACAAAGTACAAATATTTGGTTACTGTACTCAAGTAGATTTTTCTGATATTTTTACTTTACTTTACTACTTATTTTTATGGCGACTTTTTACTTCTACTCTTTAAATTTTTACACAAATATCTGTACTTTCTACTCCTTACATTTTAAAAAATTGGCTCGTTACTTTAGTTTTGAATCATTTCAATGGAGTTACAGTTATTATTTTTCACGTCATCAATACCAAATTCAATCTAATTGGATGGGAATCTAAGTTGCATTTGACGCACCACTACAAGATGAATCGACAGATTCGGCGGTATTCATTCACGGCAAATCATTGCAGCTTGGTGGCGGTGGCGTTAGCATAGTAGTATGGACGACGAGATGATTGAAAATGAACACAACGGAGATCTAGTCCTATTGGCAGACATCCATTTAAAATGTAGGCAACGGCATGAAAAAAGTGGTTTCTACTTTTACTTTTATACTTTAAGTAGATTTACAAGCCTGCACTTTGTTACTTCTCCTTGAGTAAAGAAGTTTAATCAGTACTTCCATTTTTTCCAGAGTATTTTTTAACACAAGTATCTGTACTTTTACTCAAGTACGGAAAGTGAGTACTTTTGCCATCTCTGCATGCAGTTATTTCTTCATTTTGTTCACACTTACCATGTTTGCCCAACATGAGGAGCAGGAGTGAAAGCATGCACAAATCCATACTCTGATGGCAAAAAACAGACAAAACTTAATGGATATGCAAATAAAAAAGTAAATTATGAAACAGGACTGATTTGTCCCCCCAAACAACGATATAAACATTAAAGGTACAGTTTTACTGTACAAAGAAAATAGTCTTTGTAGCGTTGGGAGGCTTCAAGAGAACATGTTGCAATTTTTTAAAATGTCTCACCATAGAAGGAAATAGTGTTGTCAGCTCATCGAGGTACTTCCTCTTTGGTTTGTCAAATAAATAGTCACTATACATTATTACATAAATGATTAAACTTTAGTTGAGTAGGAAACAATAACATTTAATCTGTTAATATAATTAGACATTAACAGCTAACAATTGCTAGTAATGCAAAGTAATTTATAAATAGCCTACAAACAGCAAAAGTAACGGTAAGGATGGCATGGCTGCAATAATGATCGATTTTCTGTATCAGAAGTTTGCACATGGTAGGCGGATAAGTAAGGGCAAACAACAGAACCTTTTTTATGTAACATGGCAAAGCACCTACTGATTCTGCATGCTACATTATTATTTGAAACAAAATCTTTTTTCTTCTAGTTTATTTTCTCTTCTTTCCTTAATTAGAATCTGAATCTTTCCTTGGCCTACTGTTTATGACCATAAAACAGAGAACAGTCATCCATTAATGTTTATAGTTATGAAATTAATAAAAGTGATTACTTACTTAAACTTGCAAGTTAGATGAAACTTTTCCAAGTAGAAGCTGAAAGTGCGCAGAATTGTGTTTAGTTTAAGCGGCACCTCCCAACAAGACAGGAAGTCTGTAAGATCTGGGAGGGCCATCACACACACACACACACACACACACACGCACGCACGCACACACACACACACACACACACACACACACACACACACACACACACACACACACACACACACACACACACACACACACACACACACAAAGCAAGGTTAAAAGGGAACTATTTTTCCTCCAAACATTTAACTGTAAAACTTACCTTTTTAGGATTTTCACTTTGGTTTTTAGTAGTTTTGTCCTAAATACACAGGCTGATAGTTTCTCATAAACATCTCAGTCAAGAGATTCTAATGAAATATAAATTTTCTACAACCAGTGGAGTTTTGTCTACTTGTAAGAGCCAACGACATACACTAACGAGCTCAAATATGGCAGTCAACTGAAAAGCATGTCTGCAATTTTAAACTATGGATTCTTTAGCAGATTTTGAAAAAAGACCTCAGGTCTTGAAGAGGGGCTTGTTTATCTCCCTGTCCCTAAGTCACATCACTACCTGGTAGGTGTCAACTTCTATTGCATTGTTGATCATTATCATTATAATTTCCTCTCAGTATAAATATTTTATTAATTAAAAAAAAGAATGAATTAACTAAGAATAAATAAATTGCAAAACCGATGAATGAAAATATTAATCAAACTTGTTTATACCTATGATGCAATTAAGTCGGAACCACTTAAAATATAGGGGGGAAGCATTGGCTACGGAAGGAGAAGCTTAATTGAAGCTTAATTAAGTGCTTAATGCCTCTTCTCTCCTTCTTGTGGGGGTCATAGTGAATTTTTTTGTCTGTTGAGGTTTTCATTTTGTGCAAACTAGTTAAAGCTAAGCAATGAGTTCATCAGTGATAGGAATCACTAAAAGTGCATTAATTTCTTCCAAAAATTATAATTTTTTTATTCTAAAAAATGTCCACCACTCCATTCTTTTTCTTTTTCCCTCCCTGAAACACATATACACAGCATTCTTTGTGTGTCTATGTGTTTCAGGGAGGCAAAAGAAAAGGAATAAAAGAAAAAGAATAGAAATTAGAACTGGACACTGCATGAAAAGTGAGATTTTCGTCCCCGTAAACCCCCGTAAACTCCCGCAGATCTGCCTGATTTTCGTCAGTTTCCGACAATTTGCAACCCATGCTTGTCCGCGTTTGTCGTGCCACAAATTGTCGGAAACGGACTCTGACGTATGTGGAGAGCGATCAGCTGTACTAATGGCCCTAATTAGCATATGAATGCAGCAAACCCGCGCGGCTGGCCAGGTCTGGCTTGAATAACCAACTCAGTATTGGCTGAAACCACTATTCTCAAACAAATGAAATCGCTCGTGATTGGCAGCAAAACCACACGTGGCCACGCCAGGCTTTCATTTTCTTACTGAGTATTGGACGGAACCACTTCTTTTTAAACAAGTAAAGTCGCTCGTGATTGGTTGGCATATATATATATATATATATTTACATATAAATTTACATATATATATATTTATTCATATATATATATATATATATATATATATATTTATTCATTCATATGGTGTGTATTTATGTTATCCTACACTACTACACAATTATTATGCTACCATCAAGGACATGAATGAATTTATACAGGAAATGAACATTTGCCAGGAAGCTGTTTATGCAAAGAAAGAGCTTTATTGAAACACACACACAACTATATACAACGCGTATCCAAACACATGCGTTTCTAAAAATTAAAAGTCCGTGAACGGTCCGTTTGCTTCCTCGGGTTTTGAGGTAACTGGCAGCATTCCCGTCGAGGCAGGTCCGATGTGCAGACGCCTACTGTGCGTGGCCCTGTACTTCGGCATCGCTTCTAACCGGGACTGCAGCTTAACACATAGTTCAGTGAGATCCGGCCTACGAAATGGCGGCGACCGTACAATCCATCCAGAGACACCGCCGAGGAAGGCGGACTTCCAGAGTTCCACTTCCTCATCTGCTAGCACACTCTGCCTCGCTTTCAGCAGCTGAAAAAAAAACAATGAATCAGCGCACTGCGTATGGACACAACACATCTATCAATACACCTGAAAAATAGTCACCAAATAAAGTCTTACCCTCTTTCTTCTGGCCCGACTCCGAGCAGATTGCCTCCGCACGCAGCGTGTTGGCTGGCTGCGTATATCTGAAGCTCCTGCGTACCGTCTGAAAATACGTCTTACAGGCAGCTGGAAAACAATTAAATGAGAGTGGTATAAATAAAAAATCAAACGCAAGTCACAGTAACAAGGAAGGAGAAAACATTAAAACAAGTCACTTACACACAATGTCGTCTTTATCAACATCGTGCAAATCTGGACTTGCTGTATGGCTCCGAGCAAATAGGAGGTCTGTGAAAACAAAATGTACAGCTATGATCGGTATCCATCCGTATCCATTGCCTTTTACCGCAGAATGAAAGCATATTCTTTAAATCTTACCCTTGCTCCGGTTCATAGCGCCTGCAATTAGTCTCCGAGTTGTGAAGACGGCGTACTGCTTCCTGTGAATCACAAAAAATACCCTTTAATAAAGCTTGTTCTTGCAAGGCTACTATTAGCCGCTATTAGCCGTAGCTTAGGCTAGGCTGCTTTTAGCTTAGCAGGCAGTAATCGAACATATATTTACCGCTAGCATCTCTTCTTTGAGTTCGTCTTGTTCGATGCAGAGTCGCCATCGCGTCCAAGAGGAGTTTTACCCCGAAATCCCACATACTCCGCTCCAGACCGCCTGCACAAAGCAAAGCATCCATCCTCCACTGTGGCTGCACACCGCGCCGCTCTGAGTTTCTTGGAGATCGTAAAGAGCATGTGCGAGATGAACCAGAGTTTCCGCGGATCAATAAAAATAATTAAAAAATCATTCTTTTTTTTTTTTTTTTAAATCAAGGCCTTAATTGGCTCTAAAATTATTTAAAAATGTTTATCGAAGTATTTATAATTCTTTAATAAAAAATGCTTATAAAAACAATTTCGTCAGATATATTATATCGCTCCAGGCGGAGAAAAAGCTAGAGGATATATATATACGTATATATGTGTGTGTGTGTGTGTGTGTTTACATACATACAGGAGTCATGGAACTCTGCTTACAGCTCCTTCATATTTCATGTACACTAAAAACTTGTGTACATGGTTCTTGTTGATGGCATTAAAATCATTTCAAATAGCATTAAAATAGCATTAAATTAGAGTCACTCATTCCTGTATGAACCCTGTGAGCGCTTAATTTAATATGACATATTAAAAAAATCCCACCATCATCCAGCATATGTTCAGTTTCTGCCCAAATATATATATATATATTTGTAGATTTTTGTAACGGGGATAAGGATAATTCAAAACTGCTTTTTTTTTAATGAACTTGTTCACTACTTCCAAACTCAGCATCTCTTTTCATTCCTGTAATAAGAAGTTTCTTTTGAATGGATTTGATTAAAGTTTAAGTCCCTCGGTATAAAATAAATATTTTGATGGAGATGAGAAATCTGCTTCCTCGTTGGTGAATAACCAATAGTTTGGATCCAATCATTTAAATAAACGGTGTTAGTTTTTTTTTTTTTTATATATATATAAGAATTGTGCTATAATTTCTAGTCACCGATCTGTTGCTGCTATATTTTAATTTGACGAACCGGAATTTGTCGATGTTCTTTTTCCTGTTTGGTGCGATTGCAATTGCGGATCTTGACCTGGCCGGACCTTATGACCACAGTGTAACAATCTTCTGATGGCTACTTCCAACAGGATAATGCGCCATGTTATAAAGTGAATCATCTCAGACTCATTTCTTGAAACTTTTCCACTTAAGTAATTGTGAATTGAGCATATTGACAGACAACATTTGATTTTTTATCTTAAATGCAATTTTTTTTTTTTTATAATTACTGCTCTAAATGTATTGCTCTGTCAGCTAAAGATCTGTTTTGGTCTCTATACTTTAATTAAATAAATCAATTCAAGCTAAAATGTAAGAGGCTATACTGAGCCTGATCTCTTTGTATTCTTACCTTTGAGAAAAATGTCACTTGGAGTAAAACCCCCCCTGCAACCCTGATTTGCATTTGTATAGCTCACAGCATGTTCATTTACATGTTAAAGCCTCCCCTAGAATTCCATGGGGGGGAGGCATGGTGGGAACACTGCCTAAGAGAGTCCACGTCAATTTCTGACAATTTACGGGAGTTTTCGGCGAAGCCTGCAAATTGTCGTAAACTGCCGCTAACCTGAAGTTCCACGACAATCTACAGTGCCGCATATTGACGAAAATCCCACTTTTCATGCAGTGGGATGGATAAAAATGTGAGCAACTAAGCAAAAATTTTTCGAATACAGAATATAAACTTCAATTTTACGTAATATTAATTTTGTACATAATGATCTGTAAAAAGCAATCTGAAGCCAGTTATTTAAATATAAAATACAGAGGCATAGGCTACTTTAAATGTGTTCAGATTACAAGTCTTGATTGGCAAGTCTCCACTTTATTGCAAATAAAAAATATGATTATCATCTGGCCAAAATAAAACCAAATCTTTCAAGGCATATACATTTTAAAATTCTGTTTTGTCATCAGGAACAATAACCTTTTCAAAACAGAGGCAGAACAACTCATGATGAAGGTAACAACTACCCTGTTTAGCACCAAACCACCTCCTACCAACCTCACACCACAGGAAATGAAAGTCTGTCTGTCTGTCTGTCTGTCTGTCTGTCTGTCTGTCTGTCTGTCTGTCTGTCTATCTATCTATCTATCTATCTATCTATCTATCTATCTATCTATCTATCTATCTATCTATCTATCTATCTATCTATTCATTCCTGGGTCACGTGCTGTATGGTGCTGTAGAATCCTGCAGAGCTCGATTCTGCTTTGGTCCTGGTGCCGGAATCCAATATGGTCTCACCAGTTGCCTCTTCAGTTGACTTCTGGAGACAGACAAGTGCAACGAGGAGGGTAGGAAAAGGGATCGGCACATTTACTGATTTGATTGAGAAGAAGTGCTTAGGAAACATCTGGGTCCA